CCTAATCTCTAATCTGAATGTATACTTATACGTCCCCAAGCAACAATTATAAACATTGAATTACCAGCGAAATTACTAACATCAAACGTTTCCTATGTACATATACATATACGGTATTTTTTAAATCGCACACATATCTAAATCCTGATAAGTATCCTCACATGTACCTCGACTCATTTATACCTTTCGCACGTTTGCAATTCTTTCCAAATGAAATCATTTCGGATAGAACCCACATCGGCACTCACGTATACTCTTCGAAACGTCTTTCGAGACGACAGCCAACACGACTTATTCCGCTCGTACTCGTATGGATCAACTACGCCTGGCAGATCTTGCAGGACGAGAATGTGGAAGCTCGAACGCACCGACCACGACTGACAGCCATAAAGATCTCATGGAGAATTTCTATCGTCTCCTCAGTTCGTACTAGGCGCGCTCGGAGTGGGAGAGACCGCGTTCGTGGCATTGGTTTCGTGCGCTGTGCCTTCGTTTATTCCCCACCCTGCTTCTTTCTCAATGTTTTTTGCGCTAGCCTTCCAAAAACTACTCTGACGATTTTGCATAATTAAAATGTTCCTATTTCCCTTTCCCTTTTCTATTCTGCGACGATAAATACACTTTAACTGCACTAATTTCCTGCTTCGACACGTGAATTATTAGTTTATTTTGTCATAGATTTTTATATTGCTCATTCATTGATTTGTATATATTCTGAATAAGCACAAAGTCACTGTCTAACATCGTTATCCATCAGATCAGGTTTTGTGTTACTTGAACAGAAGCATCACTGCATTAGGCATAGTTTTGTGTTACTTGGACAGAAATATTAATGCTTTCTTATTGTATGTAAAATCAAGAGACCATTGTCTAAATTCTCAGTCGGATCCATGTGTGCATATATATAACAGAATAAATAAATTCTATTACTCACCTATAGGTTCCTTTACTGCGTGGACTTTCATAGTCAATGCGGCGTCTCTTATGTTCATATTGAAGAGACCCTGCAGAATGTGAACGAGCTCTCGAATGACTACGAGTACGATGACGTCTTCTGCTCCGTGGCATCTGAAACAGATGACAATGTATTATTTAGGGTTCATACATAAGTATGGAAAGAAATTAATGAATGAAAATTAAATGACATGTAGTTAGAAAAAATTATATTCATAAAATGTAACCATAGACTTTATGGTGAATGTATATAATGATATAACTTTTATTTGCTCTACTGATTTTTTCAGTTATACTGACTGAAACACAATGAATGAATGTATATGATTCACTATTATGACTCATATAATCATTAAGTAACATAAGAAGTCTTTTTTATTCATAAAGATGTTTCAAAATGATATGAAAAAGAAATATAGTATTAACAATAATTTTTTATATTATATACATTCTTTATTTAAATATAAAAATAACAAAACTATAGCTGTTTCAAAAGTAGTTGTATACTTGCAGTTGAAAATATATTAAATAGTTAATTTTATACATTAAATTATTCGTAGGAATCATCTAATGTCATATAAAAGATGCACGTATATTGTTGTTAATGAAACTAGAGCAACGTAAGCAAAATCAATCATTACAACATATAGCTATAGTCATAAAAAAAATGTAGTAAATCATTGTAGTCTAATTACTCGAAAAAAATATAACTTAATAACAACAGAAATAAAACAGAATATAATTTAAATAAAACAAGCAAAGTGAAATATAATTATAATTTTTAGATAACCTACACTTACTATTTTTCTAAGGAAATTCATAACTGACAACTTATCACAATTAATATTATATGCAGCTAGCATTAAACAGAAGAATCATAGAATCAGGCGTATGCAATACAAATGAAAATATTGCACAACCTTTGGAAACATATTAGGACCAGAGCCTTGCTATTGAAACCACACTCCATGTACTTACATTGGGAAGACGAAACAGGCTCACTTGGTCCCAAATGAAACTGAAGATAGATGATATCCAGGAACGTGATGATGCTTGTGGTATGACAGTGTTTTTCGACAACGATGTGGACATCAGCTCAAAAAATTCTGGAAAATGTGGGTGCTTGGATCGTAAAAGTGTACTAAGCACTATAAGAGAAACAGCCCACTCCAAATAGATAAGTAAATATATCTATGATTTTTGAACAAATTTATTGAAAGTATTTGTAGAAAAAATCCTATGTAAAACCCAGGAGAGATTCATTTTTCATGTGAATCAAAAATCCCGCCAAAATTGTTTGAGCAGACGTTATATTGAAAATATCGAAGAGAAAACGATTAGAGCGATGATACGATGTGCGCGCTGGTAAATGTAACGAAGAATAGAAAAATGAAATGAAAATGAAAATGAAGCAACGAGAACGCGTGGGCACGCTCATCAGCAAAATCAATGCCAATGAAATATCCGCTTGTCGTGATGAAACATCGAGCTTAAACGCCAATATCCTCAAAGAATAGATCGTGCATTGTGATAATATACAATGCACACGTATTTAGTAAACGTGGTGAAGTGAAAGTGACAAGATTTACAAGTTAGAAAGACGAACCGCAAAGCATACGCCATAAGGGAACTTTCATGAAACGGCGGCCATCTTGAAGGCACAAAAGCATCAAGTACCAGTGAACGCAACACATGCATAATTTCTGCTGAACATTTTGAATAATCCAAGTTTAACATACTGCGATGATATTTGTTGCAAGAAAACTTACGTTTAAGGGATAAATCAAGCCCAGCTGGTCCCAAAATATATTCGCAAACACAAAATATTCAAAGAGCGAAATGATGTGCTACGTACAACACTGTTGTGTGTGACAACGATGTGGACATCGGATCGATGCGATTGGCGAATGGTATTCGGCTATGTTCGTGCGGGATCGTACACCCGATCGTCCACGAACTGAAACGATTATGTACGAACGAATCTTTACTAAAACCCTTACGTATGTGCTTCCGGCAGATACGAAAAGACAGAGCATATGTGATTTATACCGGCATCTACATTCTAAAGACAACAAGAAAAATTCATTGAAAATATATTTTTCAGTGAAAAGAAAATATTCCTGAGTTTGAAACCAATGTAGTATATTTCAATAATACACTATTTTAATTTATGTATATCATGTAAACATTATGTATTTTGTACAATTTTCCATAATTATCTTATTATACCAAGTAGTTTAATTATAACTCTAAATAAATCGAATACGGCACTGTTATTTTGTCTTTAAATTTTAATTAAAAGTTCAAGAAACTGAAAAAGAAATTGAAACAAAATTGCATAGTTCAATATGTGTGTACAGTAAATAAGAGTTTTGCTCAACTAATATTATACTATTATTATTGCACCATAATAATAAAATTAAATATTTACAACGCAAATAATATCTTAAGAAAAAAACAAAATAATACTTTCGGAAAAAATGAACGATGTTTGTGGCATGTACGATAAATATATACATCCGATAACCTCGTTTGCAAATAGAACGAAGAAAACATACATTGTACAAAAATATACACTAAATACACACAAAAATTATATTCAATGTTGATCTGTAATGCAAATATTACTAGTACAATGTAAAATTAGTATCTCTATTCAAAATATACATTAGAAAACAATCTGGCCTAGAATATCTAGCATGTTGTTGCGTTTATTTTATTAAAGAAACTTCACATACCTGTCCCCAAATTAGACTAGTAATTACTCGCACTATACCACACTTTATCAAAGTCATTAAATTCCAAAACATACTCAAATTTCACACGAGTATAAACGAGATCATAATATTCACGAAGTTCTGTGATAATCCTATAAATTCTTAGTGACTAGTTGATGACCTCTGTATATTGTCGTAGGTGGCACCACACCCAAGTGTACTCAAAAGGGTATACTACTTACATCATTATCGATGAACGATTTATGTAGGCAAATGATGTGCCTACGTAAGATAAGTAGATCAACTGCCGCGAAAATTGAAAATATACTTTTGATAGGCGAATACTTTTAAGATGAAACATAAAGATGAATAAACTTACCTCTATCGTTGAATCAATCGTGATTAGTTTAGAATTATTCTGGGCGTAACATCTCATCACTGCAGAGGGGATTAAATTCGCTGCGATTGTCCATAACTCTCTGTACGAACGCTGTAACCATTTCAATTACCATTGTAAACACTGAACTCTATACTCATATTCACACGTTTAGAATTCGAAACATTGAATGTAAACTCACTAGATTATTACGCACAAAGAAAAAGAAACAAAAAGAAAAGAATCGACATTGTACCGTGTACTACATTTTGTGACCATCGAGGGTACACTGAGCCCTTTGACAGAAGGGAACCTCGATTCGATGAGGGCACGTCGATAACTCGATGTGATTGTGATTACCCCATGCATAGGGCCACGTGACGACTGGACCTGCGCCAATCGCGTTATAGAGGAGGGAAAAATCACAATGGGTGAATTATAATAGGGTTAATGATAATGCAGACGTGAACTACACTTTTGATCTTTCACAGGTGACCTTTAAATGACATACCTGCCGTCCACGATAAAGATAACTATGATTGCTTTGGCCTCTTAGTACGCTATTTAAGACAGACGTGCTTCGCGTGGCAAAACGATACAATAAACACTGTACCAAACTTGCACCCATTTTATCCAGCTAACTGGATGTGTGCTTTCACGATGCAGGTAACGTATTTTAGCGTATAGCGCTTGCGCGACTAACCCTAGTCACGAAACGAAATCAACTTTACTACGTTTTGATCGTAAACAAAGAATAAAGGCTACAGCTGCTTGATCATTCTCTACGTGTAACAACACGTTCGTAGATGAAGTAGTTACGAAGGGGCAGTTGTATCGCATACGGCAAATGAAATGGAACGTGATTCACAAATTAATTATATAAGCTTACAAGTTGGAAACTGTCCATTGATTCAACTCGAGTGTCTCTTTTTCTTTCTTCTCCTTTTTTTTTTCTTTTTTTTCTTTCTTTTTCACGGCTGCAGCCGCAGCAGGCAGATCGCGTGAAATTCGCGTTCACGTGTCAGGTCTTATTTCCTGTTTCCCTTAAAAGACAGTGAATGACGTTTCACAAGAAAAAGGCAATCACTTCGAGAACAATCTAGCGTCAATGAGTATCGCACTGCCGTTTTCGATTTACACGGCATTCAGACTGCCGTATAACATTGGCTCTAAATCAAGATTCGCGTTTCTTATCCGAGGCACGATCTAATGAACTAAATTTTATTGCCCGCCATTTATTTTGATAAACTCCTGATTTGGAAAGCAAATATTGATCTTTGTGATAATATGAAATGCCTCATTTAAAATGGACAGTCAAAATGGAAAAATTAATTACATGGATTCTTTGGAATGATACAGATATATTAAATTTCACCAACGAAATGAATCACTAATCTAATAATATCAAGCGTTTATATAGATCAATATTTTAATTTTCCGAGAATGATTTATATCCACGAAGTCTATATGGAAATGGTAAAATGGATCGAATCGAAGGTTATCGAATTCATCAATAAAATAATGAAAAGAGTAATCTGTCCTTTTAATTAACCTCTCCTATAAATATCAAGACTCGCGTCTTATTTCTTAAATAATCCAACCGGAGTTATAAAAAGCAGAGTGAACAGCTAAATAAAAGAGCTATTCGATAAAGGAATTTCTATAAGAAATCTAAAGTATATAATCTGCAGTTCCTGACGGAATTATCATTCTCATTATGAATGCAAAAAGTAAATGTATTTTCTTTTTAAAATTTTTAAAATTTTAATAGAAAAAAAACTTCTTGAACATTGACAAAGATCTTTCAGGTGAATGAGATTGGAGAAAATTTTTGGAAAATCAGAAACATTAGCTTTCCTTAGCTAACAATTAGAATTGGACGTCCACTCTTTTGAAAATTTCTCTAATTGAAGAATAAGATTAAGAATGAGATTCATTCAATCGTTCTTTCAATCTGAAATTTCATTTCAAAACATAAACTCATCTCCACGTGTTCTACCTTAAAAATAACCCTCGCAGCCTAGTCTTCCTATACATTCGTGGCGCGTGGAATTTCTAAAAGCGGTCCTGCGAATTAGATGACTGTCTCCGGTCCGAGTTTCTGGGTTAAATCGGCGACCGAGCCCGCGGAAACTGGTCGCGTGCATTCTAAGGGTGCGTTCTCTCTGGTAATGAAAAGGATCGATGCGGTCTCCGTGGTAACGGCACCGTCAGAGAGGCCGGAATTACGGATGGTGGTGGATGGAGAGCATCGAGCACTCAACTGATGCAGTAACGACACCACCGTCGCTGACAATTGAGATACTTGCCTCCCGGCAAGTGGAACACTGTCCCGCGTGTGCGTGCGTGCTTTGAGACATTCCTCACGAACATTCTGTCTGCACGACGTCGCTTCGAGACAAGCATCATGCGGAGGTGGCAGATCCTCCGCTTCGGGACACTAGTGACACGAAATTATTCGATCGCCAGGACCAGAGACAAATGCACAAGAAACCATCGCGAGAACAGAGGCCAAAGATTCGTCTTCTGCGACGATGGAGCGACATGCCGCAACATTTGCAGTTCAATCCCCATATCCTCACTGGTTATAGGCCACTCATGACCATTGGACAATGTCTTCGTAGTCTGTTCTACATCCACAATGAGACTGTCAATATCATGACACATGGTGAGTTCATACAGTTTGAAATCTACAGTTTAGAGATTGGGAGTCCTTTAGGAAGATCTCTGTCATGGTAGATGATGGAATGTGGTTGTTGAAAGGATTGGAGGATCTGAAATGATGAATGAATATCTTTTGAAGAGTGTTATTGAAAGGATTGAATGATCTAAATATTTCTATGGATATCTTAAATTAATTCCTTTTTATTAAATGATTGTATTTATTAAATGATTATAAAAATATGGTATTATATAGTATTAGCATCATGGCATCACAGGAGTTACAGAATATAAGGACACAGGAGTTACATTCCTGTATCTTTATATTCTTTCTAAAATTATTTTATTTTCTTTTAGAATTGATCAGAATTCCTTTGATAAGATTAACATAATATTGATAAGATTAGTGTTGACTTTTAGATTGATAGAAACGTATGTATTTCGATTATACTACTATAATTGTAGTTATCTGTATGTAATAATTATTTTATAGTAATAACAATAACAATTTTAGAATATGACTAATTGCACTAATTTTAAATTATTATAATTTATTATTATAATAAATGTAAAATACTCAAATAATTTTGAAATAAGTATAAAATAATATCTAGTTTCATGAGTTTACAAAGTGTCTTTAAACAGTCAAAAAACTATTTTCTAAAAAGATCGAAATTATTTAACGTGAATTATTTCCACGTATCGATTTTTCAAGTATAATCACTTTAAACGTGGTGCGAAAGGGAGAGTATGTAGCTGTCGTGATTCAATAAAGTAGAAAACTGGATTACCCTTGAGCTAAGCGATTTCAAGGTCAACTTATGTGAGAAATCATTATATTCTCGGTGGCACATTGCGAGATCGAAGCCATACCTTATGCTTTCAAGATCTATTCGTGACATTAATAACAGTAATCTCATATTCAAAAGAAAAGTTCATAAGAAATTCCTGAATATCTACGTTAAATATTCATGTGTATAGTTTGTATCAATTTTTAACGATCCAATGGAATTTTAGCAATTTATAAAAACAATCTATTATGTATTATGTACATAGTATCATGCGAAAAATTTCTAAAAAGAAAATGTCATGTTACGTCAATCATATCAAACAACAAAGAGTTTATTAATAACTAGAGAATAATGGACACAAAAGAGATTATATGTACATAGGTATGTAGAGGTAAACACGAACATCACATGAAAGCATCTGTTTAATGAACTATTCGTTAAAAATGAACATTGTTTACTGATGCACGAGATATTTTGCTCCATAATTAAGAGTTAACAGCAACATTTTATACTACTACTATAATAAAAAATATATAGATGTTACAAACAAGCATATATTATCTAATATCTAATATTAAATTTTTACTTGCACAATTGGAAAACAATATTGTTAAAATTGTTCTTAAATAAATAGTCATTTATGATAAGAAATTGATCATTTATCTATAATTTTTAAAACCTACAATTTACAATTTTTAATTGTAATTATTTGAATGTAGTGCACGAAGTTGAAAAATGAAATTTTTATTATTTTTGGTGTCTCTTGGTGATGAATTAACTTTTAATTTATAAGTACATGGAAAAATAAAAAAATGATAATCTTACTTACGAAAATTTTACTCCTTTACATTACTTTAGTAATGTTTTAATGTCTTACTGTCTTAATATCCCACAATGCTGTTATTGTGATACCATGATATTCTTTCTACATTGGACGTTTTATTTCAATAATTTAATATACTCTTTTTTAAGTTCACCTTAGACTTTTGACTTAATTTATGTTGCAGGATTTGCTATTCTGTACATGTTATTGACCATTCCACAACTTCTTCCATGGAATACCAAAGGTATTCTCGTAGCAATTTTATGCTGGTGTCATTTAATTGGCGCTGTTAGTCCATGGATCGGATCCTTTATTTACCACCTGTTTATGAACTTAAACTACGATGAAATTTTTTATCGAACGCTATTGAAATTAGACATGATCGGTATATGGCTGTGTCAAAGTTTTGGTAATTATTCTAAATTATTCTAAATTATTGTTACACTATAATAATTAGAGGATCAATGATAATAGTCTTGATAATACTTAAATTTTTTTCTAATTGTAGGAGCAATACCTATGATGGCTGCAACAGTTCACTGTCTACCTGATACTTACTGGTACTGCTGCATGTTTATCTATTGTTCTCTCAGCATCTGGGGTCTTCTTAAGGCAATGATAATTCGTCTATTACAGATTTCTCAGTTTTTGTCTTCAGCTTTTAAACACTTCAAATGCATTTCACAGGCAATGAATGCACGATCTCCTTGGGAAAGAAGACTATGTTTTGCACCTCCTTTCCTCATGAGAATGCTAGTGATGACTCTACGATGTTTCGGTATTGGCGGTGGTTCTCCTGATGCTTTACTTCACATTGTACTACAAGTAAATATCATATATTTCAGTTTCATTTCCTGTAATTGATACAATACTGTTTGTATTTTAATTGCATGTAAAATACTTGGTATCAATATAACGATATATAATAAAATAAGAAAAGAGATGGTAATATGAATCACTTTTTTATTTTAGAGAAAATGTACCTATCAGTCAATGTATATTATATATTAATTCTTGGAATGATATGAAACCAAAAGATTATTGAAAGAAGAGGTAATTTATTCTAATATATTAAAACATTTTTATCCGGAAAGTAACTAAATATTCAATAATAATGAATAAGGAATATTCAATAATAAATTTTATTCACTAAAAAAAAAAAACTAAATATTTATAAATTCATATCATATTACCATCTTTAAATGGTAACCCACCACAAAGGGTTAATAAATGTTGTAAAAGAATCGCCAAATTATTAATAATTATTAATAATAATAATAGTACCAAATCTTGTTTCAGGACTTCATAGCAGTTGTAGGAGCAATAATAGGCGCCTTACGTATTCCTGAAAAGTGGATACCGGGAAAATTAGATCTAATACTGAATTCTCACAATTTAATGCACATACTGGTTGTGCTAGCAGTTTGTTCGATGCACGCTGCGACTCTGCAAGATCTTGCTTGGATGACCGGTTCGTCCGCGTGTAATGAAACGATTCTTGTTCAAGTGAAACATGTCGAACTGTGATCGATTGGTGTCGGTGTAAATCTTCCAATGAAGTCTGTGATAAATCGAGCCTACGCCAACCGCTGGTTACTTTGTGTAGGTACTCACTGTATTTGATCGTTGACCACTTTTTAAGTACACAAAGAGTGATATGTATACGTACCAAAATCTAATGCACGAAGAAGAGAAATTTAATAAAAAGAGGATACGTGAAATAGTTGAAGTACAAGCGCGAGTACAAAAATTAATCTCTCATATCTCCGAGAATGATATAAACAAACAAATGGCTAAAAATGTATTTGATCATTTAATTCGAATATCTGGAGTGATTTCATCCTTTCTTTCGAATAAAATGATTCAACTATAATAAGCACATCAAAAATACGTTTATTATTATAATTATAAGAGTTCAAGATCTGTAATAATTTACAAGATGTGTTCCCGAACATTCGTTTCCTTTGATTCGACATGTATTATGTCGTAATGTTTTAATACCATTCGTCTAAGCGAATAAAACTGTTCCAAAATATTAATCGGAATTCTTTTAGTTCCATAGAGATTTTTACTATTCAGACATAAATTCATCATTCATATAAAGATGTCGGGAATAAAGGATATACAATCGGTTCATTTCACATCAGAAATTACACACACAGGCGTAAATTAGCCTATTATCCGCAGTCAGTAGGTCTTACGATTAAAAAATAAACAGTATAAATTTAATTGATATATATTAATCGTATTTCAGTTTCTTCCATATACTTCCATATACTTCCATGTATTAAATATATGTTTATGACACGAAGTTCTATGTAAAATTCACAAGGAGCAGAGCCGCAAGAATTTTGAGAAATTAAAATTTTATCTGAAGGAAAAAAATCGATAGATAATGCGTGCTAGATAAATATATTTTTAGTCTATTACATCGCGCATAAATGTGTCCTTGCGGATCTGATCGTCGATATCAATTGTATGCTTCAATAGCTTACAGTCTGATTGAAATTATTGATATATTCTATTGCTTTGGAATTGTTTGTCTTTTATTTCTATTGGAAATTTCATGAATAATAAATAAATAAAAATATGGAAATAATATTCTAAAATAAAAGCACCTATATGGAAATCATACAAAGCACCATACAAGTGCATAGCAAACAATATATTAAATCTATGAATCGTTCAAAAATGTTACCTACGTGACAATTAGTGTAGTTGGTAGAATTTAAGAGAAAACTGTAACGTAGAATTGTAGAGTAGATTAATAAAAATTACTTAAGAAATATTTTGATAATAAATTAAAATATCTTTTTCATTACGACTCGTTTATAGTACATTTTTATAAGCAGAAGTATGTAACATTAACGTACGTGTCCGCGATGTACACGATTTAACAATCATTCAAAGAATATAGTCTTCTCTTAAATTTCAGTTCTATTATGTATTCTGCATTGCACGAGAATAATTTTGTTTGGTTATAATTATTGTAGAGGAGCTTCACTTTCTTGAGTATAACTTTTAACTCTGCTAAATTTAAGCGATGGATATCGCCCTCCAATAGCCGATACTCTCCATTCTTTTACAGATGGTTCCTTTAAGCACATTTTTGCTTCGTGTCCATTTCTGTATTTTGTGAATATAGTATAACTCAGCCATTTCAATTGCGAATTTAACCGTCTATGATGATCTTGAATTTCAAATTCCTATAAACAACAAATACAGTTTAATTGTTTATCCTGTTATGATTTACACATTATTTTAAAACAATGTAAATTGATACTTACAATATGAAATGTTTGTTCCCCGCTATCATGCATAGTCTCCTTTTTCTTCTTTCTGTACGTATTAACTCCTTTTATTTCTTGTTTTTTGAGTATCAGAATAACGCAAGTATCGTGCAATCTATAGTGGCCAATAAGAACCGATGGATTCCGTGGTGTGCGATATTTTAAAGAATTTACACAACTTTGGGCTTCATCAGTCGAAGTTAGCATCAAAACTTTTCCTTCGGGAAAAAATCTGCTTATCAAAAAAATATAAAATGAGTAGAATAAAAATCTGTTTTTTATAATAAATTTGTTTATTGGTTTAATCAAACTGTCATTATCACATACCTCAGGTACCTGAAGTATTCTACCAGATGCCAAGGTCTATAAAATCGATCTTGGAAACTATTCTCACCATCACGAATGTAACTGGTTTTACTAATATAACATCCATTATATCTTAGTCTAGGCCGTTGTATGTACATATCTCTCCACGATTGATATTTTGGAGCATAGGTACCACAATTTACTCCCCATACTCTATACAATGTGATAATTCAATTATTACCAAGATCTAATAAGGGATTTCTCTTGACCTACCTAATACAGGCAAGTCTCCATATTTCTGTATCCCTTGCAGCTATGTAAAATCCACGGCATACTCTGGAGAACATTTCAAGAGACCTGAAGTCAAGCTCTGAAGATACAACCCATCTTAGGATATAAAGTACTATTTCCATAGGTAAAGCAGAAATATGTGTTGTCTGAAATAAGGAATGCCCTGAAATATTTACCATAATGTTCCACAACAACAATATAGATTACTCTACAATTCTAGGTACAAGTACTTACAGTTTGCTCAAACTTGGGGAAACAAACGCATTTATTTTGATTTACAATTTTGCATAATTTAACAAACAAATCACTTTCTTCTTCATCTTCATCATTATGTTCAACATTGTCAGCAATATTGTTTATGTCGTTATTAAATCCTTCGTGACTATCATCACTTGATTTTACTTTAGTTGAGTCGTATAAACGAAATTCAATATCAGGAACTAATAGCACAGCACGTTTGTAAAATTGAATTGCCTCATAGAACTTTCTTCTTTCTTCATATTCAATTCCTTTTAAGAACAAACTTTTTGCCTGAAAAATTTATATATATATATATATATATAT